AAATAAATCCTTCTTTATCCCTTTTCCATTACCTTCTGTGGAAAACCAATTCTATGTAATATATTCATTGCAAAGGCATTCTTTGTGAAATAAAAAGAACAAATTTATATTAAAATGTGTCAAAATAAAGCACAAAGTGATTGGATATATAAAAATGCAAGGAAATGAAAAACAAAGATAAAGCAGCAACACAGAGAAAAACCATGCTATAAAATCCCAATCAAAAGGAAAAGTAATTTCTTTGCAATCACATAACATGCCACTCTCTAACTCTTTCTGTCATAAGGATCGAGTCAGTATTTTATATTCAGGCAACAAGTAGCTCTGTGGTGCTGAAAAGAAATAGTTGACCCAAATATGACAAATCTGTCATTTACTCATGATTTTCCTTCATGGAACACAAAAGGAGACGTTTAGCAGAGTGTTCACGCTGTGAACCAAAAGCCTTTGTATCAACCTACAAAATGGCAATAAAGCACCATTTATCATCATACTATACATGTCATGAGACAGAGTTTCAGCAAAATATTATCGATAAATAATGACATTTTGGTCCACACAGAGACTTGAAATAATGCCTGTTCACACCAAGAAAAATAACTATAACGATAATATAAAATAATTTCTTCATGCCTTAAATATAACTCTACCCTTGCCTCATTTAGTATATGCGAATCCAAGAATATGCAAATTAGACCACTCAATCGCACCAGTTTGGACTACCTGTTCCACTTTCTTGGTTAACTGTAGTAGTAAATGCTACACAATGGCAAGCGGCGATATTGGATTAATTCAGCCATATATGTCTGAATCAGAAACTGATTCCAAAGAAGAGGAGGAAGAACGAATTATACAGGGTCGTATAGAATTTAATGTATCAGAATGTATCACGCTCTACAACGTCGGACACGTAACAGTAATTGATATCATTAGCCTTTGGTTTGACAACATTACCAAACAGTTAATAATGTGTCACTAATGTTACACAAACCACGTTCCTGTTGCCATCTTAGACAGCTATCTTCTAAAAATCTACATCCTTAGGTAGAAACGCTTTGAGAATGATATAAAAAGCCCCACCCTGCAAGTTGTTGGGATTGGTTCGTGATAGTACCAAAAAAGCGGTTTGAAACAGCCAGTTTCCTACTGTCTTTGGCACACTGCGGTTTTAAGGAGAAAATGCTCAGAAATGGTGTTGACTGATGAATTTGCACATGGTTTGTCTTTAAGCATATTAAAAACACTTGATAGACATGTAAACAACATTAAAAACTTGATTTTCATCACAGGGGGTCTTAAAACGCTTGAGATTCTGATTGTCTGTCAATGTGTTTATGAGCTAGAAAACATTGTTCTGAAAGTGATTCCAATGATATCATTCCTCTGTGTTGTTATTGTTATAGTGATGTGGACTTTCTTGTTCTCACAGAAATAGAATGATTTTTAAAACTTCACAGATATCGCTATAGATATTGTTCTTGGTGTGAAAGGGCCTATATAGAGCACAGGTCATATAGACTAGTCTTTTTTTGATACCTTTAATGGTGCTTTTTGTCATTTTTGAAGCTTGTCTGTCCCTGGTCACCTTTTATTTTTAATTATATGATAACTTTTAATAACTTTTCCTTATGTGTTTCACTAAAAATCATCATGAGCAAACGTTAACAATTCTCATTTGTGAGTGGACTACTCCATTTAAATCTACAGTGATTAAAGTGAGTGATGACTACAGAAAACAATGGGTAACTTGATATGCACTGCTACAACAACAAAACGTCCAATCCATCACAAGTCTATGCCGGGAATTCACAGAAGAGTGATCAGTGACTTCCCGCAATGTGAAAACTAATCAGCACTGCACTCTCTGCTGGTAGCTACTGCTATTGCCATGGTGAGGTAACCGCCACAGTCTCAGAAACAGAGCACACTGCTCACTCATAACCCCTCCTTTGATGTTCAGCACGCTTATAGTGAATGGATGTTTAAAACTAAAGCTCAATCTACTTCTATCTCTGAAATATATTCACTTCAGGGCCATTAAATAAAGCACCATAAATATAGATAGATAGAAATGGGAGATAAGGACAACTTATGTGAAGATATTCATCTGCAAAGATGGTTATTATTCAGTGCACCTTTTTAGAAGAGTGCTTTGTTGATAAAGGCTGATTTACTTCTTAACTGAAGGCAAAGCTCAAGTGAATGCAAACATCAATCAGGTTTCAACTACAGTATAGTAGCACATCCGGACCAAACAAACAACCCTTTCTGTACAAAGCAAAAATAAAAAGTTATGGTAAAAAGAATCTGGAATCACAAAGAAAACGATAAATATTCAAAACTTCAGCCCCAGGACACGTGCCGGAAGCCACTGCGGTTGAGGCCTGGCTCAGTCCGGCTCGCACTTGCCCTGATGGGAAGGATATGAGAGGAGGAGTTGGTGTTCTGAGACGGTTTCTGCCTAGTCCAGTTTCACTCCAGGCTTCTCTGTGTTGAGGAGGTGAAGGCTGTCATCTATGAGAAAGCTACAAGAAACAAAAAACAAGGAAAACATACACTGTAAAAATAATTTTGTATGTTTTACAAGAACATTTCTTCTTAAAAATGTCATGTTTATTTCACAGGTTACTTGCCGTTTTTGTAATTATTTGTGAAATTTAGCAGCAATTTCTAAATGAAAACAGCTTCAAAGTAAATCCTACACCAATTTGTTTTCAGGGTAGTTTAGTTTTGTTGTTGTTTTAATACAAGCACCGGGACCCATTTCTATAGAACCCTGCACATAACATGCGGGAAAAAAATTAATACTTTAAGTATTAAGAAATGTGTAAAAACTATAATATGTGCACCATAATTAATATGTGCAATTTACATGCTGCAGACACACAATTTAGACATACAGGCCGTGCATGTGTACCTGTAGAAGAGGAAGTGGACGGGCACGGTGCTGAGATGCCAGACGGCATGAGCGTCTAGAACCCAGAAGAGTGGAGGGAAATCCAGCAGCTCCAGCAGGGCAAGACCATGCAGTAAGAGCACCACCATCCCACACTTCCACCAGTAAGGCAAAATCCTCCGGTTCAGCCAACACCAGCACAGCCACCATAACAAGTTTATCATGCCTGTGACAGATGGGTGAGAAACAAATACCTAATGTAGCCTATTACTGTATCAGTTTTGTTTTTAAACCTTTAAGGCTGGAATACACACCACGACTTTTAAAAACTGAACAGATATTAAAATACTGGACATCATACCGACTTTATAATAATTGCAGACGAAAAACTGGCCATTATACACTAAACAACTGAGGATCATACACTACCAGGCTTTAAAGTCATTCCGATCACAACAAACGCACGCAGAAATGACAATTGAAAACAATATGTGTTCTAAAATCAGCTCAAAATATCAAACCTGTTTCATATGCTCCGACTGGATGGAATCATAGTCTGAAGCTAACATTTTTTTTGTTGTTGTTGTTTTTGGAAAAGGCTATGAATGGATTGTATTTACTTAATATTTGTAATACTTGTATTTATCTTAATAAATGTTTCTGGGTTTCTTATTTTGTAAATGATTCATCAGCATACATTATTCCAAATAAAAACCATCATACATTACGCGATTTTCTATGAAATTTGTCAACTCAAATCTGCAGACTGCCTTTGACTTTCAGCAACTATAGCGTCAACTTCTCCAAACGGTAAATTGGCGGAAAATCAGGGCATAAATCTTGTAGTGTATTCCAGCCTTTAGTTTAAGTGTTACATAATGTGAAGCTGGTCTTGCACTGATGCAGTTGATGAAAATTAGCTAAATTACAGTTTAAAATATATATTAACTATTAACACAACATGCATTATATATATATATATATATATATATATATATATACACATACATAGAGAGATAAAAAAATTCTTATATACACAATCATTTTTAAATAGTAATATTTAAATATTACTGTTTTTACTGTATTTTTGATCAAATAAATGCAGTATTGGTGAGCATGTGAGACTTTTCAATAACATTAAAAAAATCTTAATCATTCCAGAATGTAAATATAATAAAACAAATCATTGTTTAGGATAATACAAGTTCCTGTGTACCATTTATGCCTTTTCCTTCTTATTTGTTATTTTATTAACCTTTTTTTATTTTTTTTTTCAATTTTTTTAATTGAAATGTCAAGTGAAGACCTGTAGACCTAGTATTTACACAAAGCCGAGTGTATTAACATAGAACAAAAAGCTTAAAAATGACCAAAAAACAAGCACTTTGTGAAAACAATGCAAGAAAATCTATCCATGGTTACATGAGATTTTGAAATGATAAATCCTGTCAAAAATGTTACAAAGCTGACAGAACAACTGATGCAGGCATTTACATGCAAAGATCTACAGTGATCAATAAATTAACTGTGCTTTGATTACAGTCAATATGAAACCGCATTCAAAACTCATTTTAATCCAGTAACGGGATATTTTTCTGAATGAAACAGGATATTAAAAATATAGGTCATGACTTGATTTTATTCAATGGGAATTGACTGGATTGTGAAAAGTCAGACCTCAATATTTTGTATTCTGTGTAATACCAATCCCCAGTTTTTGACTTGATTTGGAATTGACTGGATTGTGAAAAGTCAGACCTCAATATTTTGTATTCTGTGTAATACCAATAATACCAATCTATTTGGAATAAAGTACACTGATTAATCATTTACACAATAAGAAACCCAGAAACATTTATTAAGATAAATACAAGTATTACAAATATTAAGTAAATACAATCCATCCATAGCCTTTTCCAAAAACAACAAAAAACATTTAGGACATTTTTACATGAACTTACACGTTATCAGCTTATCATAGGCACTGTAGAATCATGTATGTAAACACACTGCTGTTTTCACAACACTTACCTATGGTGGCGTTGGCAGCCATGTTGTACCCGTAGTCAAAACTGACAAAGGTCAGATAAGACACATGAGACGTGAAGGCCAGAATGAGCAGAACTCCCACCATACTGGAAATTGCAGGCCTACGCAAGCCCAACGTCCTGAAACACAAATATCAATCCTCAAATCAACATCATAAACTAAAGCAATAAGCCCCAAGAAGCCGTGGTTTACAGTGAATTTATAACAGCTAAGGGGCGTTGTTAGAAAACCCCTAAAAACCCCTTAGCTGTTTTAAATTCACTGTAAACTACGGCTTCACTGGGATTATTGCTTTTATAAAACAGTTATTCCATATACGTAG